CCATTCATCCTCCCCTTCCCACAGTGTCCCCCATACACTGTTCCTATTTTATAGTCCTGTCTTTCATTATTAGTTCCAAAATTGATGTTCAAAGGGGTTTCTCAATGTACCTCAGCTGTGAATATGCTTTACTTTGGTCAGTTTGATATCCTCTGTTACTCTCCCTTACCCCTTTACCTCTCACCCCATTATTTGGCAGCTTTCGGTACATATCTTTATGTTCCCTACTTGTGCAAATGAGAAGTATTTCAATATTGGTGACTCTCTATCATTATCTTTTCCTTTCCCTCCTCCTCCAAGTTCCATAGCATAGTTACACTATTGCCAACATATTCTACCTGTAAATGTGTATATGATCATGTTTATTTTGTGTGTATGTCTATTTTTTGGATCTATCTTCCACATATGAGAGAAAACATGTAGCCTTTGTCTTTTTGAACCTGGCTTACTTCATATAACATGATGTCCTCCAATCCTATCCATTTACCTTCAAACCACATGGTGTCATTCTTCCTTATGGTGGAGCAAGCTCCATTGTGTGTGTAATCCATTCATCAATTGTTCGACATCTGGGTTGTTTCCATAGCTTGGCTATTGTGAACAGTGCTACTAGTGGGTCTGGAAACCTAAAATAGATGAGTGAGTATCCCATTTCCCATGGAGAGCACTATGATTCCTGCATCCCAAGAAGGAGGTGTAAATCTGCAATCTGCACCCTGAAGAGCAGATACAGGCCTCATAGATCTGCCACATTGCTGATGAGCAAAATGCTCTCAAGATTGTCCCCCCTTGACAATAAGGGGCAAACAAACCAGTTCATCTAAGAAAGCCTGTGAATCCACGGCCAATGAAAACAGCTCATCTAACCCAGAGTTAAAACGTCCATAAAAACCCCAGCCTTCACCTGAGCAGGGAGCCACCGGTTTCCCGGCTCCGCTGCACTGCTCTAGCTGTAGCCTTTCCTTTCTCTCTAATAAACCCTACTTCATGTACCAGCTTTGGCTCACAAGTCAGTCAGCTGCCTCATGAGCCAGTTCCCTAGCCTGTGAAGGCAAGGACCCTTGACACCAGCCCTCAACACTTCACATTGGCACATAACATTTTGGCAACCGCATGAAGAGACATCTCTCCTGGACCAAGGTTGGTATGACTTGAGCGCCAAACCACAGGGGCACATCTAAGGTGCGACTGTGAGTTTCTGGCCCCCTGCTGGATGCTCCTGCTGGGGAAGATCCCCTGCTGAGGACTAGCCAAAAGCAGACTTCCTTGCACTGCTCACCCTGTCTCAGTTCCTGTCTTCCCGAGGGACTTTCCCATCATGGTATCAAACCAACAGCTCCTAGCCAACTTTGCCTCATGGTAATTCTGGCTCTGGGGGTGCTTTTGCTTCCTTCCTGCGGGCTGAGACTGAGCCCAGGGTTTATTTAGGTATGCCTCATTCTATGTTGTAGACCTGATTGATTTTGGTACCTGACAATTTTTCAAGTTTTCCCACCTGTCAAATACCCCTTCTGCTGGAGGCAGTGACCCAAGAGTGGATATTTTGTATGGCTGACAGTGTTCCAGTACCACTTAGTGGGAATGACCTGGAAGCACACTTAATTGTTAATCCCTCAGGCGTGTGTCCTGCCTCCAGGCTCTACCTTCCCCTCCCTTACCTCAGATGTCAGGACACCCCTTCTGTCCCCACTAGAAGCAGCAAACATACTTTTACTCACACACTCCCTCCCCGGTCCAGCCACCTTGTCCTTCATCTCTGTCTGCCTAATCCTCCCTGTACTTACTGGGACCCTGGCCTCCCATGGAAAACTCATACCATGGTACTTTATGACTTTTTTAAGTGATTCCCACACCTGTCATGCCCCTCAGTCCACAGCAACTTTAAATTGGCTGCTGGGCGCCCGCAGAAAACTGTGGCTGCACCACACACTCAAGCCCTAATTCTGCCACCACAAGGGGAGGGGGGAAACAAACAGGCGTGCGTGTGCACAGGGACGCTGGCCCCTCGGTGCAGTGGTAATGCCTGCCATAGCTAAAGCAATCCATAGAGAGGGCCCAGCATGCATCCAAAGCCGCCAGCCATACATGGTGGTGACTGTGACTCGCTGCCACTCCCCCCAAAACAGATGAGAGTGAAAATAAACATGTGCAGGCATGCATACATGCAAGGAGATGAGGCAACAGGCCGCAGGGTTGGGCCTGTGCAGATGGGATTGCTCATCCTGGGGGTGGGGGGAGGGGAGCAGCACTTTGAGCAGGCCCAGTTCCCAGCCCTCCTCATGCCTTGAGCCTGACCAAGCCAGTCCTTGGAGCTAATTCTTATCTCAAGGTTATGGTCCCAAAGAGCACAATGTAACCTTCTGGGAACAGCAAAAAATGAGCATTGCTATGGCATCTAAACCTCTCATTTAAAATTTCCTGTACTTTTGGCCTCAGTATAAAATTTTTTTCCTCCAAATATTAACACTAGTTGTCCTCTTGAGGCTCTGTGATTGCCCCGGGACCCCCTCTAAGTGCCCTTCTCTAACCTTAGAGAACCTAATCTCCAGGTGATGCATCCCTTTGTTAAAGAGGTAGGCTTTGTTAAAGAGGCTGCCTGCTTTTAGCTAAAAGGCAGGATCCAAGGGTTTTTCTCTCACTGCATTGGTAAGGTGGCCTGCTCTGACCAGTCACTTCCTTGGGTTTGGTCACAGATAGTGGAAGGAAGTCATGAGACAGGACACTGCTCTCCTTAGTTAAGTCTGTTCCCCAGTGGGGATGCCGACAAAAGGGGAGTCTGACAAGTTCTCTCTAGGTAGGAACTGGACCTTGACCCTATTAATCTCAAGAAAAAAAACCCTCATCTTTCTT